GGAGATGCTGAGGATGGGGTTAAAGCCGAATCAGTTTACTTTAGGGAGTGTTCTGAAGGCTGCTGGGAGTTTGCAGAATGATGGGATGGGGAAGGGAATTCACGGGACCTGTGTGAAATGCAGGTACGAGGAGAATGTTTATGTGGGGAGTGCATTGGTGGATATGTATGCAAGGTGTGGACAAATGGAGGTGGCACAAGCCATGTTTGGTAGGCTGGAGAGAAAGAATGAGGTTTCCTGGAATGCTGTTTTAGCTGCTTATGCAAGGAAAGGGGAGGGAGAGAGTGCGGTGAGATTGTTCTCGGAGATGAAAAGGGATGGTTTTGAGCCAACCCATTTTACGTATTCTAGTGTTTTTATGGCGTGTGCAAGTACCGGAGCTTTAGAGCAGGGAAAATGGGTGCATGCTGATATGGTGAAATCAGGGCTGAAGCTTATTGCTTTTGTTGGGAATACTCTTCTTGATATGTATGGTAAGGCAGGCAATATTGAGGATGCAAAGATGGTTTTTGATCGGCTGGCCAAGCGAGATTTAGTTTCATGGAATTCAATGCTTACGGCTTATGCTCAGCATGGACTTGGAAAGGAAACTGTAGAATGTTTTGAGGATTCGCTTAGGAAGGGATTTCTGCCAAATGAAATTACTTTCCTTTGTGTGCTCAATGCTTGTAGCCATGCCGGGCTTCTGGATAAAGGGTTGTATTATTTTGAACTGATGAAGAAATTCAAGATAGAGCCAGAGGTTTCACATTATGTCACAGTTGTTGATTTACTTGGTCGAGCAGGCCAACTTGATCGTTCTGTAAGGTTCATACGAGAAATGACAATTGAACCCACTGCAGCCGTTTGGAAAGCGCTTCTTGGAGCTTGTAGGATGCACAAGAATATGGAGTTGGGTGCTTATGCTGCAGAGCGTGTATTTGAACTTGACCCCTATGATTCAGGTCCCCATGTGTTGCTCTCTAACATCTATGCTTCTGCTGGTAAATGGAGTGATGCTGCAAAAGTGAGGAAGATGATGAACGATAGTGGGGTGAAGAAGGAACCTGCTTGTAGTTGGGTTGAGCTAGAGAATGCTGTACACATTTTCGTGGCAAACGATATTACACATCCACAGAGAGAAGTGATTCGTAGAATGTGGGAGAAGATCGCTGATAAAATCAAGAAAATTGGATATGTCCCAGATACTACTAATGTGCTGTGGGGTGCCGATCAGCAAGAGAGAGAAGAGAGGTTGCAAAATCATAGCGAGAAACTCGCTCTAGCATTTGCACTTCTCAATACTCCACCAGGATCCCCCATCAGGATCAAGAAGAACATTAGAGTTTGTGGTGATTGCCACACAGCATTCAAGCTTGTATCAGTGGTGGAGAACAGGGAAATCATCTTGAGAGACACCAACCGTTTCCATCATTTTCGTGGTGGCTACTGCTCCTGTGGAAACTATTGGTAGTTGTAATACTAACACCTAATCTTTTGCTGCTCAATCGGCACAATCTATAATTATCTTGTATTTAAATTCTGATTTGAATTTTTTATTTTTTTTTTGGCATCTATATATATTTTTAACAATCTTGCTAGTGGTACACAACCGTGTACCTAATGTACGTAGGTGCCTCGGCCGGGTGTACATCAGGTACACCCTTAGGTACACGGTTGTGTACCTCTAGCATAATTCTATTTTTAAAGGCTTCGATGGAGTTAGTATTTTTTATTAAATCAGTGAAATTCCATTTTTCTTCCTGGTTATGAAGAGATCAAGCTAAAAAGATAAGTAACACTTCAAAACTATGTATTTAGTTAATGTCAAGACCAATAGTGAAGAAATTCTAATGGACCACTCCCTTAAGAAGCCCATGAAAGTTTGACCCGGCCCGAATTG